GCCGAGGAGCTGCTGGTGCTTTGGCCGCTCGAGGTCATCTCCTGGCGTGGGAACAAGCCACGGCCCCTGAGCCGCGCGGCGCCGCAGCCGGGAGCCGCGCGCGGGGCTGGGGAGGGCTGGCCCGCAGCCGCTCTGTGTTTGGGAGCAACGGATCAACGTTACCTGATTTAGCACAGGCAGAGAGCTGTCTGGTAAGAAACTGTTTCCCAGGTGAGGGCTCTTGCTGCTGTTCAAAGAATCAGTGCTAGGTGCTAAAGAAATTAATAAAACACAAAGAAACAAAAAGAAAAACATGGTTGTTAAATTGTTGAATTTTCATAAAGTGTAAAGAGATTCAGAATAATTATTTCAAAATAATGTCAAAGGTAAACATAGAACATATAAAGCTAGCAGAAAGTCAGTTTTAAAGTCAAAGCCAACTAGAAAAATATTAACTAAATGACCAGTAAAGCAAAAGATTGAAACAGAGGTGCTCCAAACTGAAGTAAAACAGAACATGCACAGAAAAAAGCACCTGTGCTTCACACAAGTCTTCTGATTTATTTTTAAACGTTAGATTTTTTTTTTAAATCCCCAGTCTATCCTCATTATCCATGTGGATGCATCTCCCATCAACTGCGTATAAATCATTCTCTGGCTCCCTGGGCCCTTGAGCCCTTTGCTCTGCTTACCTGCTGGGAACGCGTGCACTTGATGGGAAGGGCTGGGATTGGAAGTCAGCGTTGGAAAGGGAACGGAGAGTTGTGCATTGAGGAGCTGAAGCCTCTCCTTTTTAGCCGTCAGATTCTTTATCTGCTCCTCTAAGCGCCTGTTTTCCACCTGAAGCTGGTGTAATGATTTAAGCATTCCTAAAACTAAAAGAAAAGCAGCATGTTTTATCTTTTACAGCTGCCTAATTTGTTTTTCTTTCAGCTAAAGGATCGCTCATGATTCCACAATATTGCTAAAACTTTTTAAAATGAGTAACACCTTGACAACAAGTACTTATACAAATACATAAATTATTTGCCAATATTAATATAAACAAAATAATTGATGAAAAAATACACTAGGGAAATTTGGCTTTAAACAAAAAAGCTTACGGTCACTTATGTGCAATGGAAAGGGCTGGGACAAGTATGTTGCAAGAGACAGCAACTGCCCGACACAGCAGCGTTTTGGCTTCAAGCCACATCACGAGGGCTTACGCAGAGACGCATCCCCACGGCCCCGGAGGAGGATTCTGCCCCCGGCAGGTCTCCGTGCGGCAGCAGCAGCTCCCCCCGGGTGCCCGG